GTGTGTGTGTGAGAAAGCACTCCACAGCAGCAGTCATATTGCAGATTAGCAGACCCTGGGGAGATTTAGACAGAGATGCACTGCTGAACTGCTTCAGAGCTCTTCTACCGCTTTCGTCTTCATGGAAGAGTGTATCCGCCCTTCTTATTCTCTCTCATTGAGGGGTATGAATGCGTGAGCCCTTGGCTAACAATGACAGGGCCTAAGTGCTGTCTTATAAAATGCCCCAGTGCCTCCGAACACCCCCCTCATGCACGTCTCACAAAAGAGAGTGTGAGAGTGTGTGCGGTGCAACCTCGCTCTGATCTTAAAACACCATTTGACGTGCCCTACAGTTCAGTGTCATGCTATAAAACAGTGCAGTCGCACAACTTACGGCCCACTGTGCATTAAAAGCCACCTCCAGTCTGACCCCAGACCGGTGGAGGCAGCGTAAGATAATAGAGGCATCCGGGCAGCAGCTGACCCCAGGACGGGCTTTGAAGCCAGAGCATCCCACAGAGAGAGAAGCAAGGAGAGGGACTCAATTAGTCAAGTCTAAATTGAACCATCAATCTCAGCTCACTCCATGGCCATCCGGTACGAGGGGGCCAGCACTCGTAAACAAGACCACGCTGTTACTTCAAGAGGGCTGTGCGGCATCTGAGGTGGTGAACTTTATGAGAAAAGAGAGGAGAGTTGAGTCTGATACCTCATTTGTCTCATGTATGTGGAATATTTTATCCATTAGGCCAACAAAAACAAAACATGAAGAATAAATCTTCACATTTCTGATACTGTAATCACTTCCGCTGTTACAAATATTACAAAACACTAAATTGTAAATACAAATAAATGTAAAAATAATTACATTATATTATGAAATAATAAAATAATATTGTAAAATATTAAAAACAATATATTAAATTACAAAACAATTAGAATATATATATATATTCTCTTCTCCCCATTGCAAAATAATGCAAAATGCAAACGTTTCACAGCCATTAAATAATATTTACGACTGGAAAATGTTCTTAATTTACCCGCAGTTAACAGGTATGGCAAAAATAACTTTATGGACTCTGGATGAGAGTTACTGATGAGAGGAGTGATCTATTTTGTGTGTAAAAGCACACAGGGTGGGGAGACTCAAAGAGAGGCACAGGAAGGTGAATGAGACCATTGTCTGTAAAGGGCTGTGTGACGTATGCTTAGCTTGAGAACTGTGTGTGTGTGTGTGTAAGGTTCAGTGCTAAGGGAACCAACCAAAGCTCGGCCCAGACCATGAATCAAGCTCAGCCCAGCGCCAAGGCTGACAAACACACACACTCGCACACACACAAACGCGTGGACACTCGGGAGACCCTGAACATCTGTGCCCCACATAACACAGACTGCCAAGCACTAGTGAGGACTACATCTCCTCCACAGAGAGCTGGGGGAAGAGGAGGAGGAGTGCGATCATACCATCAAAGAAGAAAGCGTCTCAAAGATTTGGAGTAGTTCAAGATGAGGATGAAGTTCATTTGCAGTATAGCATTCTGATTGCAGTCAGTCTTTAAGAGTGTGTTGTGTGTGGATGACACAGGAAGTGCTCTGTGAGTGTGTGTTTGCTGTCCAGACCCCTGAGAGAGACACTGTGCTCCCTCTGAACCCCTGACAGCCCTTCTGCCCTCTTTCCATTACTAAAGCTAATAACACACACACACACTCCAGCACGCCGCTGCCTGACACTGACACACCACACACACAGGCTGCTGGAAACTGTTCTTGCTGCAGTTCTGAAATATATTGCTACACATATAGTGAGAGATAAGAAGAGGCCTGGAAGGATTTTTTTTTATTTTCAAGCTACAAACATGTGCTGAATATTTTCTTTTTTAAATAAAATGTTGTGTAAAATAAATGTTCATTAGTCATTAATTCAATGGTCATTAATTCACCAAATTGAGTTAATCTTTTCTGCTATATATTATCATATATTATGATATTTTGATGATCATGAATGATCATAAATTAATATTTCTAATTATAATCATCATCATATATTAATATATAATGCCAGCCTGCTTTCTAGATATAAACCCATTTTGGCCGACCGATTGTTTTCCCACTTGCAACAATGTATAAATCTGTGAATGCGAGCAGTAACAGGTTGATACGGAAACTGCTTTAAGATGTGCAGTATCATTGAGGCCAGTCGATTAGGGACAGACTCGGACGTGCGTTTATAAAGGCCAAATGCTCTGCTCTTGGTCAAACACACATGCGCGCACGCGCACACACACACACTCGCCTGACCCAGTATAAGTTTGGCTGGTATCTCATCTTAACAAACAACTCAGCTCGGGCTGTTTATCTGAGGGGAAGTGGAGCAGCGAGGGGGGGACAGGTGAGCATACGGCTCGCTAACGCGCTGACTAACACACTCCCGATTTCACACAGGGAGTGAGATGCATGTGGCCCCCTCTCAGTATTCTCTTACTGCTTTCTGACCCATTTCCTTTCTACTTTCCCTTCACAAGCCAGCGCTACGTTTCCACCACACCGAGCGACTTTCGATGAATGTGCATGTATATGCGAGCATGTGATTGATCCGTCTAGAAGCAGTGTATGGGAAAGAGAGGGAGACAGAGAGAGAGAGAGAGAGAGAGAGAGAGAGAGAGAGAGAGAGAGAGAGAGAGAGAGAGAGAGAGAGAGAGAGAGAGAGAGAGAATGGTAATAATACGACCCTTTCATAATGATTAAAGCATTCATTAATTTTTCATCATAACCTGCCGTTTGCAGCTAATGGTCTTTGTGAGGTACACAAGCAAACAATGGACAGGCGAGTTGAAAAGGGATTTTTATCAGGCTATGAGAGGCCTGGCTCAATGCACTGCCCACCTCCCCCTCTTTATTTTTCTCTTTTCTTTTCTGCTTCTTTTTCTCCATGTCCATGCTTCTTGAGGGATTGGGGCTTCTTTTGTTTGCACATTTCATTTGAACAGAATGTAGAGAGATAATGCGCTACTGTAGTCTCTTGCTAATGGACTGTCTGTTTTGCTTGCTTGCTTTTTCTCAAGTTCTGTAAGTATCCTTCCTATATTTTTCCTGGCCTCCTGTATACGGCAGCTGTTGAATTTCACGGCCAGACTCTTGGTATGACCTTACGGCTTTCTCAAATGTAACTATTTTTTCTGACGTAACTATTAAAATCAAATGTAAATGAAGCAAAATCCTGCTTGGTTTTTATAGAACAGGATGATGTTCACACAAATGAGCAGAATCAGTGCCAGCAAAACTCCAATGCCTGTCATTTTGCAAAGTCTTACACGAATGTTTTGTCTATCATGATGCTTTTTATATACCAATATCATGTTTAAATCCATTCTGAAGATTTTTCCCCAAATCAGAGCTGAAAATAAAATAACATATAATATAATTGTAGAAATTTTCTGCAAAACCGCAGACCTGAATGGAAGTCAGTGGAGCGAAATCTAGTGACACCTCAGTTTAAGACAAAGCATGGAGTAACGCAACAGTTGTAAGACACCTCCGCACTCCCGTACATACAGAAAAGAGAGTGCGCTAAAGCCTGCTGTATGTAAATACTATGCGAGTGCTAAATCAGTGAATGCTAGCTTTGTTTGCCTGCATTCTTCACATGGTTGACAGCAGGATCAGCTTTAAGTAGCCTTCAGTGTGCACGGGTGAAGAAAACAATTCTCACTGTACAATCACACATCCATCCATCCATTCATTCATCTACCTACCGACATCCATTCATCCATCCATATATCCATCCATCCATCCGTCCAGTGTCAGTATTTTCACATGTTTATTTGCACACACATTGGCTAATTCACATAGGGAGCAGGTTCTGATTATTCATGAGGAACTGGCCTCTAATTACAGAGCGAGTGTAATGTGATGTAAGAGACAGAGAGAGAGATCCTGTGGAAGGAGCTGAGAGCCGTTCTCTCAGTAATCAGTCTGAAATGAATATGCAAAGTGTGGCACACAATGGCTCCGAACAGCTGATCCCTGCCTGCTTAAACAAAGGCCTGACTTTATCAACAGCTCTCATTAAGCAGAATTTGTTAGTCAGGAATGATGGGTAGATAGATGGAAGAAAGAATGTGTGCATGCGAGCTGAAGGAGAGGAAGAAAGACCGAGTGAGAGATGCTCGCCACGAAATCCTTCACACTTTCAGTCGGTTTCACATTGTAATTTCATCACAATAAGACATACACGTGTGCCAATGTCCTCTGACTGTCTAATACAGTGAACTTTTTCCACCGACAGGGTGCCAGTGCTGATTTCGGAAACCGGTGCCCAATCTGGATCTATTCCATGTGCTGTTTCCACACAGAAAAACTGGTTCTGAAGGGAAAAAAACGGGCTGCGCAATGGCTCCTAAAACCTGCTGGTCTCCAACCAGGAAGTTTAAAAAACAACAACAACTCAAAGCTAGATAGCTCCCAATAATCAAAGAAACTCTCTACACTGGAAAAAAGTCTGATGTGACGATGCTAAACATCTTTTAAATTAATTAAAATATTTAATTAAATTGATTGCTATGAATTTTATTTAACAATATATTAAGTAATTAATTAATAATCAATTAATTCTTCAAATTACAAATTACTACTTTATTCAAAAGTATTTATAAATGAATTGCAATTACTTTTATAAATAAATAAAGTAAAAAAAAAGTTTTTTCTTTCTTTCCATGGTATCAAAAGTATGTATAAATCTTTATAAAATAAATCTTTCATTTCTTTCCATGGCATCAAAAGCAGCTTGTGATAAAGATGCTAAATTAAATGAGTTGGTGTTAATATATGTTCTCAAAATACGCAAACAACCACCATAATATGACATGTTCATTAGTGGAGAGGTTATATTGTTGTTCAGCTCTCAAGATTTTGTAAACCAGGTGAGAATTTAGGTGAAACAAGGTTTCAGGACAGCTTTTTCTATGCGAACGTCACACCCATGTGTCAAAGCGTGTATTCAATTCTCCATCACTCACCTTCTGGCTCATTCTTGATGAGTTCCTCCATCTTGCGCTGTTTGAGCGTGTCGACCACATCGGCCAGGCTGCCCTTGCGTCTCTCTGGGGTGCCCAGAGCTGAAGCGGAGCTGGGTTCGCTGCCCGGCCGCATGGACCCCTCCTCCTGCTGCTGATGCTGCTGCTTACTGGGTGAGGTAGACGAGTTGTGCTGGGGGTAGGGGCTCAGGGCCAGGCCTTTACAGCCATCCTGATCCTGACAAAGAGACGGAGAGAGAGACAGGGTGTTAAACAAAGCAATAAGCAGGCCTTCACTAATTATTTCGTCCTCTTCCTGAGTGTTGAGGCATGTTTAGGTTTACTTTCATCCTCATCTGCCCATCTGTACTGTAGAAAGTCTCTCTCTCTCTGCCTCTGTCGGTCTGAAGTCTCTTTAGACAAAATCATTAGTGCAAAAAGTTTCAGTCATTTCACCATCACAGGAACTGTCTCTTCTTCTGAGAAGGGAAGTTTTTCTACTTTGAATCAGCTCCAAACACACAAGAACATCCAAGTTTTTCAACCGCATTTTTTTCTTCTGTTCTTGACCAACATGACAGCTGCAATATCAATCACCATCTTCAGTGTTTCATGCATTGATCTTCTGTCCAAATATATAACAGTTCCCATCTTATGGTTTCTTATGTAACGTGGCTCAGAATTAAGCTTGTACACTATTAAAATGAAACTGTGCAGTTGTTGCCTTAAGGGGCTATTTCTACCTGATCTGAGCCATAAAAATGACTTTTATTGGGATATATTTTTTATACAAATGACAAGACATTTTTACAGTGAAACTTTCATAGATGCAATGGCATAAATCACTAATGCTTATATAAAAATTGTGTATATGCACACAACATTATATAATATATTGTAAATATACATATATAAAGTGTATATATACACAATATTATTACATATTTATTTTTATCATTGGTGTTTTTTTGCTTATGTATTTATATGCACACAAATCAGGTAAATTGAGAAAATGACAGATGTGGAGATTTATGATGATGAATTATCACACACACACAGTTATTTTCACCCAGCTCCGGATCCCCTTTATAAAGTTTAATTACAAAACAAGTCAGGTATTTGGAGCCAAGGTCAACAGTCCAAGTCCGTTAATCAGGGTTAATCTTTGGTTAATCCTCATCTATTATCTACCTTACCACCAGTGTGACTGACAGCAGCCTCAGCCAATCAGGCAATAGCATAATCCCACTGACGTGTTTGGATCCAGTGACCAGATTTACACCTCAACAATCAACATCAGCTCCTCCGTGCCACCTGCATCAGTCATGCAAAGCGAAATATCGTCAGTCCAAACTCAAGTTCAGAGGATTGAATAAAGTTCTATCACCTGCTTAGATTTTAATAATGACATCTGTTTTTAATCATTAACTCCGAGAGTGAACAGAGAGCAGCAGATGGTTCATTTACTAGAGCTTAATGCAACACGAATTACACAAGACTTTCAGAAGACACAGAACAGTGGCAAATACAGTTTTACTTAGAGACTTAAATGATCTGATTTGGTATTTATTTATATCTAATCAAAAAAACTATAAAACATGGAAAAAGTAGCAATAGATATACGTTTAATAGTAGTAGTATTTATTTATTTATTTATTTAATTTCAGTCACGAATACTAGAAATTTATGAATATGCTGGTTTTTAACAATGTTTTTCTTCAATTTATTTATTAATTATGTTCATAAAGTTATTAAATTAATAAATGTTGTCACTTAATTAATATCAGCTATTTATATGCTTTATTTTTAATAACATCAGCCACTTTCTTTTGCACATAACAGAAAAATAAACAAACATCATATTCAGATACATACAGTTGTCAACACTCCATATATCCAGATATACTGAATATAATCACACAGATTGACTCGTCACAATCCATCATCATCATGATGATAATAATAATTACTGTAGAACTAATTAAACTGAAACACTTTCACTCGCTACGAACGCATACCGAGAGACATTTCACAATGATACTCATTCACAAACAGACTGATGACTGGCAGGCTTAAAAGATCTTAACAGGCTTTTATGATACACGGAAAATATGACAGCTTGCATACTGATTTCCTCCCATTTCCGTAATCTGTCTGCAAAAAACCCTGCATGTTTTTCCCGACACTCCCCTTCGTTTCATCCCTCTCTTCCCCATCGGCTTCAGTCAGGGTAGTTGAACTGTGATTAGGAGACTGTTGTCATAAATGACCAAAGCGGTGCGAGATCACCCCGTCATTCGCAAACAAAACTGCCAACTCGCTGTTAAAGAACTAACAGAGAAGAAAGATGGAAAGAAGAGGGGAGGACGAGAGCGAGAAAGGCAGAGAGTGGGAGCGAGTGGCAGAATGGCAGGCGTTTCTCTCTGCCTGCTTTAGTGTGGCATGCATCTTAAAACACGGTCACACCTGTCACTTCCAATCTATCTAATCCACTGCATACTTCAAACCGCAGCTCGCGTCTTTCTCCAGAGATGTCTAGAAAACAATTCGAATAGAAGGTGATATGGCGTCGGAGGAAACTGTATTCCTTCGCTTTTTAAAGTCTTCGGCCGTGACACTAAGTCTCGGACAGATGAAGCATCATTCTTAAAGAAGCAGAAGAGCTAATGGCTTATGTGTTGCTTTCTTTCCCCTATCTTTAAATATAAGGCACACTGAGTAACAGGTCTACTGTAGGGTTGATATTCAGGTTAATTCCCCGTTTTGTCCTTCGTCTCGTTGCTTACGTGTGTGCGTCTGATTTTACGCCGCAATTGAATAAGTGTGCAAAGCTCTGTGCTTGTGAGTATATGTATTTATATGCATTTCTGATGTGCCGTTCTGTGCGGTGTGGGCGGTTCTGCTTTTAGTTGTGCAGATGTCAATTCTTCGTGGAAAGGCTGAAACTGCGCCTCTCTCCACGACCCTCTCTTCATCCTTGAACCACGGCAGCATGGCGACAGAATTAAACAACTTTTGTCCTCTTAAGCTCGTGTGTGAAAGAAGCACATTTAAAACACACTTCAACTCCTGCCAAAAAAGCAAAATGCCTTCTTTCCCCCTCTAGTTTTTTCCTCTCGTCTTCTCCCTTCAACACAGATGCCAGCATTCCTCCAAATGCCACCTCTTTTCTCCCATCTTAAAAAAAAAAAAATGTTTGTCCTTCCTGTACTCCGCAGGATTCCAACCTGTTTCCCTTAGAGCATTTCTCTCATTCGTTCTCTCTCCCTAAATAAAGCACGCTTCCATATGCTAACTTAAATCCAGTTATTTTACAGACACAGGTAGCGTCTAGCTAATGAGTCTAACTCGATACATGGCCGTGTGATTCTCTGGCTTGCGATTACCACGCGCTACTAACCCTCTAGTAACCCTGGTACTAACCCTCTATGCTTGCTATCAGTTAAACTGTCAAGAGTCCCGCTGCTGAAACACACACGCTCGAGTTGGACATCTCTCCTCTCCTGCAGTGCTGACACCTCGTCTGTTGTCTTAAGCCTGTGTTGCTGATCTCTACCGTGTTTGTGCAATCCGCTCACCTCTAAACCTGGCTCAACCGAGCTATTGTCAGCCCTGATCCTGCCGTGAACACACACACGCACGCGGATGAAGACTTACAAGTGCTTAAAAAAACCATACATTGTCTCGTCCCTGTCCTTCTGTAGTAGGGAATTTACATGAGATTATGCCATATAAAAAGGCTTAAATTAATAGATTTGTATGAAACTTCAAAATTAATGTATTCTCAGATTTGTAGTTTTTGTTTGTTTGCCAAAAAAACACATGAAAAATACAAGAAATGCATCTCTAGTTCAATTTTACTAATTCATATAATTTATCTGATTATAATAAGTGTATATATATATATATATATATATATATATATATATATATATATATATATATAGGCCTATATATACATACACACATACATACACACATACATACATAACATATTAAATAAAATATATAAAAAAATATAAAAGTTAGAAGTATAAAAACAAATTAAATTAGCTTTTAATGATGTTTTGGAAAACAAAGGATTAATTGATTTACTTTATAAAAAAGTACATTTAAAAAAAAGTAATTTTTAAGAAGAGTCCAGGCTGATGAGTATTTTGTTGTTTTTGACATTGAAAGGTTGTATTTGACACATCCAAGTACAAATCTTAGCGTGAAACACACATATAAACACGTCTTCTCTTAATGCCTCTCATCATTAACTGGACAAAAGGGAGAGTAATTAACACCTCGCTATTATCACCCGCGTGTAAAGCTCTTTCCACCTTTCAGGTTTCAAAGCCTTCTACTTTCCGCCTGTAAAAAACTGGCAGGAGTTTACAGACTGCCATGGACGCGCACCGCCGCACCAACTTCTATTGTAGCAGGTACCGCGCGCTTCAGCCCGCTGACCCCATCGCCACGAACACGCGCCTCCCTCCTTCTCTCTCTCTCTCTCAGGATGAAGAGGTCAGTGGAGTCTGAAGCGCGTGTGCGCCGCTGCCGTGTTAATTTACAATGACAAGATAAAGCGGTAATCTTCCGCTGCGCGCTACCCAGGGACTCGCCGAGTCGATTTACACTTCCCTATCACTTTATACAATTGCCGTGACAAAGCCCCTCCGAGTCCCCACTCGTGTAAATCTCTCTCTCACTCAACACTTCTGCCAGTCAGCGTGGATCGGCTCAGGGAAACTTAATGTCTCACACATGCCAGCCTGCTTTCCCCAAAATCCACCCGTGCTTGAGACGGATACGCTTTATTAATCCACATCAAATACAGTGTGCCTGCTTTTTCATGCCACGTCTGTCATGTCAGCGCGAGAGACAGATACAGCAGTCTAGTCTTTCAGATAAAACAACAATTACAACTACTGCACTGCAGCTGATACTGATAATTATTCACATTACGATTAGGCTAAAAAGAATAACAATCAATTGTATGGACTCCCCTTTAATGGATTAGGGTCACAGGTGTAGTGTTGTACCCCTAAACGGTACGATTTCCCCTCAGTAGTAGTTTTACTGCAAGCGACTTTAAGTGAGAGAACTGACAGTCATAAAAAGCACACACTGCGCTGGCAGTCGAGTGTGTAAAGTGAGAACGAAGGAAACGCTTGAGTGAGAAAGCTAGAGGACTTTGCAGTTTTGGAACCGTTTCTCACAATAAACCAGAGTCCAGCGTGCCCTGTAATCACAGTTAATTGCAGAATTAGCTTACTGTTAAGTTCCTTAAGTACTGATTCATTGTTTTACAGCCAAATTGATTCCCAAAGCCGGTGGCGACACAAGTTTATCAAGAGAGAGAGAGAGAGAGAGAGAGAGATAGTGGAGTCGGGGGAAAAGGTCACAGAAGAGATACTACAGCTCATGTGCGTGTTAACGTGAGGACGTGCGATCTGGGTTACAGGGTCCACCTTGCTTATTTGTCATCTTATGGCTTTAAACAAACAGCACATGAATGTCATACAGTCTATAACCTCCATGACTACACTGACCCATCATGAACTCACACTCCGCAATAACAGATGAACAGTCAAGCATTTGATTCATTTTGGCCACATTCAAAAAGACGACTTGTCTTGCTGCCTATGACATCATTGGAGCGTGACGGGCATTTCCACACCAAAAGTGTGAGCAAGAGACAATGGGAGGGATTCATCCTGAGACAAGTTGTAAGGGATGGAGTCAATCAAATGCATATTAATCAACTGGGAGGGGCTAATAGCGTCTTCATCCAATCGTATGAGAGGGGTTTGAGCGTATAGACGCCTCCTGGGGGGCGACTCACCATGTTCGCGTGTAGTGTTGGGGGGCTGTCGAGTAGTCGAGGAGATCGCGGGGACACTTTGCTGCAGTACGAACTCAGGGGCAAGTGAATGACAGCATGTCCGTCAACCTCTTCATCCTCCAATCGCTGTCTGCTTGTCGCCATGACTACCTCTCCATCTGTTCCCCCATATGGAGAGGCTGGTCGCTTGGAAGACATCCTGGAAAAATGAGAAAGGAAAAGTGACTGAGGCATTCAGGAAAGACATGGCAGAGACAGAGACGTGGCTGTTGTTTAATTGTGAGTGACATATACGGGAGCATTTCACGCACACACACCTGACACACACACTACTCGCATAATGACAGCCATCAACGCCATAGCTTTGTCCACATCCATCCCTCCATCAAAGACACGTCCCACCTACACTATCACAGAGCCATTTACTGTAGCAGCGGCGCACACAATGTGTTTAGCTAGCCTGTTTGATGTAAAGACTCGAGCGGCCCATTAAAGAAAAGTGCAGCCAGCCCAGCGCACATCAAATATCACGTTAGCCAAGAACACAGACAGACAATGTTGTGTGCGTGAGCGTGTGTGCCACAGTAGATGTTAATGACAGTGTATATGGTGTTGACAATGCCAGAGAAAATAGGCCTTGATGACGGTCTGTGTTCCTCTGATACCGTCAGGAAGAAAAAGCATTTATTAAATGAACTCTCTCTCCCACAATGCATGGTGAGGAAAAATGAATATGCTCTCGTAATAAGATTTCATCTGGCTTACGGCATTGCCTAAGTGCTTACATAGACGCGCTTCTCAGCCTTGGAGCTAGTGTTACTATGGCCCTGGGGAATAAGTACCACTCTTTTAAAAGAAAAGGACAGACAAGGATAAAGGGAGATGGAGAGAAGTACTTTTATTTGGCTTGCCTTGTAGTCTGCAACTAAAAGAATTGGCAAACAAATTTTATTTGACGGCAGTGTCGTAGTAACTTTGCTTTTCTCCATAAGCTGTTTTATAAGCAAAGTTATGGAAGCCCTTTTCTTTTCATTCATATATATATATATATATATATATATATATATACACACACACACTTCCCATAATTGCAACGTTATCTCTCACAATTGTCACTATTCCTCATAATTGTGACTTTTTTCATAATTATGATATACCTCACAACTGTAATTTTATTTTTCATTGCAACTATATTTTTTACAATGTGTCCTTACATCTCACAATTTCGACTACTGCACATAAGTGCAACTTTATATATCACAATTCTATTCTTTGTTTCTCTCACAATTGCAACCATGACTCGTAATTTTATGACTCATAACTTCATAAGATCTCATAATTATTTATTTCTCATAACTGTGACCTTATTTCTCACAATTGTAACCTTTTTTCACAATGTGACTATATCTCATAAACTTGATTTTATAACTGACTTTATAGCTCACTTTTATACATTTCTTATTTATAGCTCACTTTTATATATTTCTTATATTACACTATCTCATAATTACTCATTTTATTTTATGCTCTGAGGTGGAAACTGAAACTCACATACGTACACAATGGAGTTACTTTTTTCGCTCCAATATCCTTCATAAACTAGCATCCACAGTCTCAGTACGGTCCAGTTTGCGTGTGCTGAAACTGAATGGTATTCTCATAGACCTGGTCTGACTCAGACGCCACATCTGGCGGAGCTCCTGGGCGCTGCTAAGGTTTCTCTTTCTCTCATTTACTGCTTATTTGGTTTAGATTAGCTGTAAAGACAAACACCATATAATGTTTCTAACTGTCTGGACGGGATAGAAAACTACTCACCTCAATCAAACCTAAGACTGGCAGCTATGAAAACGATGAAGATGTGCTCAAGACAGTCTTGACTGTACAGGTGAGATTTAAATGATACCCTTTGATGCAGAGTCTGACAGCAACTGCTCTGTCATAACAAATTCTGTAACACAGGTGTATTATATGTACGAATGTGAGACTAGAGACTATATCGGTGTTAATTTGGCTGTATGAATGTGAACGTGTGTGTGTGTGGGGTACGTTGGCTGTATGCTGGTTCACACTGGGGCAGTAAAAGCAGTCAGTGCAGCTGTATAAACTGCAGTTGGGCCGTCAGAGCCGCACGGCCTGTCTGCCCCTCCACCAGCACTCTGTTTACTCTACCTCCAGACACTCACACACACTGGGCCCTTTTGTTTCACTCTGACACACACACCTCTGTGCCGCTCTCTAACACACCAACCCCCAATACACACATCAGGACCAACAAAGACACACACACACGACCCTCATCTAAACGTAGGCAATCGAGAAACGGTTGTTATTAGAACCAGCAAATTGCTTGTCACATCCAACTCGAACCGAGAACTGTTGTTTTACTAACTGTTTAGTTAAGGCTTGTGAGACTTACAGTAAATTAGCGTAATGAGTAGCTGGAAAGCTAGTAGGAACACATCAGTGATTTGTTGTAAAAAATACTTTACTTAAAAGAAGAATATTAAAATGTGTTTAAAAAAAAAGAAGCAATTTGTGTTCAGTATATAATTTTTTAAAAGATTAAAAAATACTTCCTTAAAAATGTTAATGGAACCGGAATCATTTAGTGGAATCTGTTTCAGAACCAGAAATTCTTATATTTTCCCATTCTCAGTGCAATATTCCTTGCATAAATACTCAGGTGAGTGTTATAAAATAGCTTCAACATTTATTTTCAACTAATTCCCAGCTGTTTCCTATCCGTGCGCTACTTTGGACACGTCTGCATCTCTTTTGCGCTCTTCCACGTCTCGTGCACGTCTTTCCTTTTGCCTCTCTCTTCCGTACTTCCTTGCCGGCCCACTGACAGAAGCTTTTCACAGCTCCTCTTGTGCAATAAAATGTCTATTTTCCTGCGAGCCTTTGAAGTATAATTACTATACAATTCTGCTCCCCGGGTGAGCAGGTTATAGCCACTATTTCATTTAAAGTTGGCAGACCTGTCATGGTGGAGAGTCTACATGAAACATTTAAAGCTTGTCGAGATGTTGGGATTAAAAAAGAGAGGGTTTTATTAAGCAGATAAATTGGCAGAAAAGCTGGTCTCCAAGGTCATAATTAGCAACCATTAGCATAATTTCACTCCATCCTTCTGTGGTTCCAATAAAGGCCAGCCTGCCAAACACACAGAGCCTGTCCGCTGACACACACACACTTGCTAACACAACACACGCACAAAGAACAGTCTCTGAAGCTTCCTTGCAGGCTAGTCGTGTCTGCTTAATTTGCATTGTAAACTTTAACAGCAGTCTTCGCTCATTATCTGGTGGATTAATAACTTTATTGCCATTCATTTTCACAAGGCTAAGAACTATGTTATTCATAAATAGCCTTGAATATCAAAGCCGAACGTGCTGATACGGGTGAGGTGACTAAACACATATGTAGAAACACAAATGATGTCAGTATAATCTCCAAACATTAGTATTATTCAGTTCGGGGTGTATTATCAAAGAAAATGCCATCACTTTTTCATATCTCATGAACTTTAGCATTCGCACCCAGTCCCATCGCAATTGAACTGTAGGTTTAGAGGCTAACTTTGATGGCTAATTGTTAAAAGCTAATGGCCGCCCCACCGGTGTGGCACTCGACCCCCTCCCGCCGGCTGCGTACGTTAAACCCAGATTAAAGGCACACTTTCCCTATGAGCTTAGACACAGATTGAGCGCTTTCCTAAGTCCCTCTCATATCACATGTACATTTCTCCGCAGACGTTAATCGTCCAAAATACAGGGTCCATTAAACAGCGGAGTGGAGCTGCACTTTAAATACTGAATCTAGGAGCTTTACCTAATCACCATCAGCAGTGGTTAACACTCCAGAAGTGCCTCTAATGACAGGACATAATTTAGAGGCTAAACGTGTCACATACGCACACACTTGGATGTGCGTGGCCCACAGAAAAACTTGCACGATGATGCTTTGCGGATGTCGCATGCATGCCTACGATAAAAAGCATTCCGATATCAGAGAATGGTTGAAAAAGTCATGATAGACACCTACTGTTGTTTTTATATAATGCGAATAATAAAGGATTATTTGACCTAATAACTGAAGCCTTTAAGCAAAACTTTGCATATGAATAGCATTTGATTTATCTTAAAATATATTTTATTTATTTACATACATTTATTTATTAATAAACATTTTGAGAATCATTTATTACTAAATATTAATTAAATGTTTTACTTTTATATTTGAGGACATTCCTGGGCATTCCCCAAGGAAGTTTTTGTCAGATTTAGGGGGCATTTATATCTTCCAAGTAAATCAACAAACACTGCCAATATTTCTTTTTTAATGAGGCATTATACTCTCTTTTAAAAAGAAATTTATAAAAAAAAACATCATTACACCGGGTGAAGGTAAATTCCTGTGTAATATAACTATTTCGTTAGGAAGGTCAGCTCTTCTTTGTTATCAGACTGTGGGAATGAAACGAAGTGTGTCCAAAAGTTCAGACAATCACCCCGTTCAGCACAGATAACAACAGCAATGCCTTCGGTAGGAAACTGAGAATACCTCACAATCCACTCAGACATTAGGAGATGTGCTCATCCCTTTTTTACTCTTTATCTTCTGCTCCCAGGACGATAAGTCGCAGATAGTCCCGTCAGGACGTCCCCCTTTGCACAATCAACCATTTGTGCCCAACTCTCTCTGTTTTGAACAGTCTTTTAAGTATATTACTTTACAGCTATTTATAGCTCTCTCAATTTTTCTCTCTGTGGGAATGTAGCGGCCGGCAGCAGGGAGGAAGCGAAGAGCGAGTCAAGAGAGAGCGACTCCGCTGAAGTAAATTCATCCGTAGTGCAAACTTTTGAGGGCTCTTCATCATTCATGTTGTAATCACTAATCACAGTGTTCGCCACTGCTGTGAGGGCACTTGGATTTTCTGCGGGTTAATTTTCCAGAACATCATCTAAAGATCACGTTTCCACTCATCAATGCTTGAAAAAATATGACAAAGAAGTGCATATACTTTTAACGACGTTCGATCTCAGTAACACTAAAGTGGTAAAAAGACACATTCACCTGAAGTAAAATCTGACAAAAATATACTAATAGGATCTGTACTAGATGGTACTTTAACCAAAAAAATATCTCATTACTTTATTAGAGATTTAAGCATCACAAATCTATCACAAAAAA